GCCCTACCTGAGACCTGCATTTTAACAAGATCCCTAGGTGATTCACATGGACATTAAAGTGTGAGAAGTACCGATATACATCCTACTGCTGATGATAATATGAAAGTATTAAGCTCCCTGGTACTTTTCTTTACTGACATAGGTAATCAAGACTGATTACACAGTTGACACATTTTTCAATTGTATAATCCTCTTACCAACGATTATTTTCATATTTCTTAAGCTCCACACAGTGACTTCTTAATACTTGTTCCACTGAGAATCTAATTCTCTTTTCCTTGAATCTGGACTAGCTATAGTGACTTTCTTGATCAATAGAAAGCAGCAGAAATATCATTGCAGGACTTTCTGAGGCTGGTGATAAGCAACTTTGCAGCTGCTGCCTGGGTTTTGCGAACATTCCCTCTGGGAGTCCCGAGTCACCATGTAAGCTGTCTGACTTCTCTGATACTGCCATGCTAGAGAGGCCACATGTAGATGCTCCATTTGACTATTTCAGCTGAGCCCAGCTTTTCAGCCACCCTTCCTAAGATGCCAGCCATGAGTGACACTATCTTGGATCCTCCAGAACACTGCCAGCTAAATATTACCAGGTGATGTCTGTTAATGTCATAGGGAACAGAAGAATCGTCCAGCCTAGCTCTGTCTGAATCCTTGATCCATAAAATGGTGAGATATAATAAAATTATTCTTTTCTTAATATAAATAGATAAGCAGACCACTTACATAGAACATTCTAAAACTTACGGTGCTGGAGAAGAATTATCACAAGTTATGTTATAAACTTCTGAGTTTATCTTCATTTTAAAATTGGTCATTTTGTATAAATAGCCCAGGGATGAAATTCAGTGAAAGAGTAGTTGAGCAGACTATATGTGATGACTTTGCGATATGTCAACTTAGCTGGGCTAAACTACATTCCCCAGAATCCCTTTTTCAGTACGTTTCTGAATAAGTGGGCTAAAAGAGTTATTCTCTCACAAGAGTTGGAGGATGGAAGGGAAGCATCAGCTAGTTTTTAGCATATACACACCTTCTCTTAATTATTCAAGAAAACACTAGCTGCTGTTGTAAAGAGGTTTTTTTTTTAGATATAAAGTCCCTACTTAGGAAGATTATTCTGGGTGGGTCTGACTCAATCAGTTGAAAGCTCTTAAAGAGCTTAGACCTTCCTTGGAGAAAGAAAGGTTACCTGTGGACAACAGCTTTGGGCAGTGTCTTTAGGATTTCAGCCTTCTTCTGATCTTTCATTTCTGCCTGCCTGCCTGCCCTTTGGACTCTGGATTTGCTTAACCAGCTCTCAAAATTGTAAGATATTTTAATTCCTGGTTGTATGACAGCCTTCAAACTGGGATGTCAGCTCTTTCTGTTCTAGCACAGCGTGCCCGCCTTTGGACTCAAACTGGGCCATTGGCTCTTCCTGGTTCTACAGCAGCTTCTGGACTTTGGACTTGAGCTGGGACAATGGCTCTGTTTGGGACTTGCCAGCCTCCGTAATCACGTGAGTCAATTTCTTATAATATATTTGCTTTAATTTCTCAGTAAAATGCTTTTCATAGTGTGGCCATGTGCCAGTAGTCATGTGCCACAATGCTACTAAATCTATGGTTCGAAGTGAGACCTATGAAAGAATATCAGCAGCCCTTCATTCTATCGACTAGAAAACTTGATGGATAATCCAATTTTGCCTAATGGCCCAGTTAATGACTCAATTCTTTGCTATATTATGGCTGTCAGCTTAAGGGAAAGTAAGATTTTGTTTGTGGTAATTAAGGATTCTAGTTGTGCATGAACGATAATAAGGTATTTGTATCCAGCTCTGCCAGGCTGAAGTCCTGCCAAACCTCAACTTGAATTGCCCACTTCATGGCCTGACATCTTTCCTTGACCTCTATGCTGACTTCCTGGAGCATTTTGAGGCTATCTCTTTTGGGGACCACTTCTTTGGGGCTCTGATTCTCCTTCCCCTGCAGCATTGATTCAGGGGATCTCTTTTAATCCACAATATTATATTTTCCTTTTAATAAATAAAAAGTAGAAAATTAGAGAGGATAAATAACTTTATATCAAATGACATAATTAGTAAATATTGCCTTGTCTGTACACAAACTATTTCTTGAAGAACTTTTAGATCTGTTTCCTAATTTTCTGGTGAACTGATTTTTATCCCAGCAGAATCCTTTGAAGGTCTGTTTCATAATGCATAATTTTACAGCTGAGGAAAATGAGGAAAGAAAGGTTAAGTAAATTTTAGTCAGTATAATAATGAGGTCTTTTGATTTTTGTAATTATAATGCATAGTAAGAATTAGAGGTGAGTAGAAATGCCGTAATATATTTTATTAAAGTCAGGTTTTCTTTCTATACATCTCCAGGTGTGATATTATTACTGATAAATATAATATCACATTTGTTCTATTTAAATAGATTCTAGAGAGAGAGATGAAGGCCAAAGGGTGGGTAATCGGAGAAAATAGGGAAGAGTGGGGAAATAATTTTTTTTTCCAAAAACAGGAAAACATTTGACTTGTGGCTTTTAAATAAGCTGCTTAGTATTGCTATCTAGACTTAAAACCTCACACAAAATAATTTCAGAAGCTTATTCTATAGGTTTAGGTAAAATTATAGAATAATTTCCTAAAATTCCTATATGTTAGATAACCAGTACAGTACAACTCTCAAATACCAAAACAATGAGAAATTTGTCTTGTTGAGACACTGTCACGTTAATGACAAAAAAGCAAGATTCATTGCTTTCTTTTCACTTGAACTTCTTTTAGTTCGTTGTTGTCCTAAGATTGGTCCATGGGCCAGCAAATCAATACTACCTGGTAGCTTATTAGCAATGTAGAATCTCAGGTCTATCCTACACACCTGAAAAATATGCATTTTAACAAGATTTCATGTAGGCATATGAAGGTTTAAGCAGCATTGCTGTAGTTGACTTTTGATCTAGGTTGATTGCTATACTACACTATCTGCCTGATTTACCTCCAAATATTAGGACCAGAATAAATATCAGTAACGTTCATTTTGTCTTGTAGAACTTGCAAATCAGGAATAGGTACTTTTTTTTTTTTTTTTAAATGACAGGGGTTTAAATTTTTCTGAAATGAGAAAATTAAATTATATTTTAGCTACACCATTATGTTTTTAAATTCTTATATGTAATTCACAACTTGATTTTTTATTAACTTGTTTTCAGGCAAAATAAGAAGTGTAGGACAGGAAAGTAGTTCACTCTTAATTATAGCTCAAAACTAAATTAGTATATGTCATAGTATTATTAATTATAGTCACTAAGCTACATTTTTATTTTCCCCTCAACAAATGGCAAGGCCTGCTTCTAAAACATGAATGCCTTTCTTCACCCTTAGCCAAGGATGGCAAATATTTGACATGGATTGATTTTTCCTTACCATTCTCTTTTCCCCATATCTGAGGGGCATTGCCAGTGGATCAGAGCTCTCTTTTCCCCATGGAGCCAAGATGTAACTTCAGGATCCTTCTCAAAGCACTCCAGGTAACCACCACCAATCAAAGCTGGCATACAGAATGAAAGCTATTATCAAATGTAGTATAGCATATTAAAAAGTGTCCTGCAGATGTTAAGGTGTTTTTCATTGGTATAATGAAAATTATATCAACAATAAAGTTATTTTAAACACAATAATAACAGTATTAGAATGAAAACCTGTACCATTCTTCCATATTTCTTAGAACATCAGATGCTGTCAGGTTACATGCTTTTATTCAAATGCAATCAGTAGTAATTAGGCCAAATTTAGATTTTTCACAGACTGAGCTGTTGACTCCTGATCCATCCCAATTTGTTTGGATGGTGGTAGTATTTTTAGTGCCTTGAGAAGTTCACCTGTTACGTAAAATATGCTTATTGCATTATTAGATATATGACATAGTGTAGGAATGATGAATTAGCAGTTAATAAAAACTTTTGTCCTAGATTACACAAAGACCAACTGAGTGACTGAAATAAGCTTACCTCTCTGCTTTAGTTTTCTCACTTTTAAAATTGGTATACCTGCCCAATTCTTTCTCACAGTGGGATAAATCAGATCTATTTTTTTTTAGTAAGGGAAAAACTAATTCCAAGGGTTACTGTAATAATAAATAAAAATAAAAGTCAGGTTTTCTTTCTACACATCCATAAGCTGATTTCCAACAATTCTTTATTCCAGACATTAAATCACATAATAACAATAAAAAAAATTTAAAAGCCACTCTTTATTGCACATTTACAATATATCTGACAATCTTCTAGATAAATAAATCACTGAATTACATTTTGGACATGCACTGCTATTTTAGACTACTGAAAATCAGCCAGCACATTTCTACAGATGAGTAATCCTGCAATTCTAAAAGTGTCAATATATTTCTCTAAGTTTCTATTGCTGGGGGTTAATCTCAGTTTTTTTTTTAATATTATGTTCTTGTAATAATTAAAAATGTTGCATTAAAGCTATTATTAGGTCAGTAAAAAATGGATAGTCAGCTTTGTTGATACTAGAAAGGGACATAAGTAGGGGTGACTGGAAACCAAAACTGACTAAATCTTGCTAGATTAGTTCCAGAGAATATGGTTTACCTTTAATATATGTAATCTGACTGAGAATACATGGTGACTGACTAAATATTTTTTCTGATATTTACCCAGATTATCATTTTATTTTTAAGTGGAGGAAGAACCTCAGCCTTTACAACGAAGTATAAAAGACATTGTAAAATTAGAGCTCACAAATCCTAAACCAAGAACTACGAAACTAATAGTTCATTGTTGCTAAGAGCTAGATAGATATTAGCTCTTGAATAAAGTTTAGTTCATTATACGAAACACATTAATAAGTTACTTAGACTTTCTATTAACACTCACATTTTATATAATGCAACAGTATAAAAATTTCAAAGCACATTTAAAAAATGTTTAATTGTTATCTACATCATTTGTGACTGTTCAACTGTAGTAAGGTATGAAAATTCCTAAAACGGAAAGAAAAAATAGCAAAGAAAGCAGAAAACAATGAATCCAATGACCCAGTTCACTGAATAAATATAGATGATCACCATATCCATGTCAAACCACCAACCACGGCTATCATCCTCAAAGTGTAGATAATCCATCCTATGTGCACCATGTGGGAACTGCCTTCTTGTAACTGGAGCGGCACGTCTGTGGAAACCTGAAAGATGTATGGACGTATTATTTTAAAGCTCATTAAATTCAGATATGTGCTCAGAAAGGAAGCTGCATTATGAGCATAAGTACTGGGAACAGAGCATATCTTGATTTCACTGAATGGTATGCTCGTATTCTTGACAGTTCTTTTCAATGATAAGCAACTATCAAAAGCCTCTTTTAAGGATTTTAAGGGCAGGAACAGTAAAATTAGCAAAGAGCATGGGATATGGACTCAGGAAGTCTTGTTTTGTCATTTACTTGGGGCAAGTTATTTGAGCTCTTTGGGTCCTGTATTTCTCATCCATACCTTCTGATCACTTAATTCAAAATGTGAGGATCCAATGTATTTATTTTCACAAGTGCATTTTCTAAATTTAAACTTTATTCATGTTTTTATTTTTTATTTTTTTACAACTACAGCACCAGGTCTAACTAGGTGGTCTCCCATCTAAGTACTAACCAGGCCCAACCCTGCTTAGCGTCTGAGATTGGGTATGTTCAGGGCGGCATGGCTGTAGACTCGTGTTTTATTTTTATAATTACTATTATAACGATTGTTTCTATGTTCTGATCACCAATTTAACCTTATATCTTATACCCTGAGAAATTCATTCAGTTATTTGAGCAAAATTGTATGAGAAAAATGTCTTATTTTGTTTTAGCATTGAATAAACTGGACAGACCAAATGGTACTCCTTTGAAGAAATTTAGCTTTAATTTTTATAATTTCAAATTATGTGTCTACTTAAATAATTGGTTGGTACACAAAAAGCAAATCTCAAAAGTAAGCAGTAGTCTAAACAGTATAATTAAATGAAATGACATTTCTGAGATATAGTATATCTTATGGTGAAATACTGTTCTATTTTCTTTGTGCTATTTACATGTGAATTAGAGCCTGAGTATATGTACAATATGTTAGTTGCTAATGATTTAAAGATATTTTAAGATATGGTCCTTGTCTTAAACTTTTAGTCTAGAACAGTGTTTCTCAATCTTCTCATAAGGAAAAAAGATAAATTTATTTTAAATTAAGTATTCTAATCAATAAATTAATTTATACCTAATTTCTCCCAAAGGAGAGAAATTAAATAGTAAAGAATATGATTTTGTCAGGTAGCAATGAGCTCATGAGGGCCACCAACCCCATACTATCTAAGCTTTCTGTTGTCCCCAGAACCGATTTTTGCCAACTTGGGGGCCACATTGCCCCCATTTGAAATACAGGCCTAGGAGACAGTACATTTACAACCATGATAATAGTTAATATTTATTTTAATATACATTATTTAAAAAAAAAAGATTCGTGTTTGAATGGAATGAGAAGCTTTTGTATCAGGCATTCACTTTTACACAGACTTAACCTACTATTGGTGATAAACTGGTAATAATCAGTTTGGTATTAACTCATGGTTTAAAGAGTATCCAATATTATTAGTACAATTTAACTATGCTAGTTTAGAGTAAAGAACACAATAAAGAAACATACTTCATACTCTTTTGCCACATATAAGTGCGGGAAAAAATCATACTCTTCAGGCAATTAGAAAATTTGGATTCTTGTGCTAATATTAAACATACTCATTATTTGGTTAATTTAAAATAGTTTCTCTGTATCTATCGAAATGTTCACATAGTTTTCTTCTTTAATCTGTTAACATAATAAATTCAAATAGGAGATTTAAAAAAATGTTAAATAATTTTTTTAAAGCTGTTAAAGTAATTGATAGATTTTCCAATGTTTTATCATTCCTTCATATCCAGGATAAATGCCACGTGTTCATGATATTGGTTTTCATGCACTGGCAAATTCAGCTTTATATGTTTTATATGACATTTTTATGCCAATTTCTGTAAGAAAGATTGATCTATAATCTTCTGTTTTATGCCACTTTGCCTGGTTTGTATATCATGATTTTATTGACTTCATAACACATAATGGCAATTAGGTGATAATTCTCCGTGGTTTGTATATCTTGAAAGCAGGGGTATGAATGCCTTTGTTCTGTACTATTTTTTGAGAGAGATTTCGACAGCAAAAAGTCTTGGAAAATGGTATGTGTACCTCTGAGGAAGTTTATTTTATAGCCTTAGAACACAGCATATTTAATGGCTGTTATAAAAGATTTGAGTTTTGTAAGCTTAGAGCTCTCCATGTAATGCACCCCACCACATCTGTATATATAATCCGGCCCTATTTGTCATGCCCTATGAGAAATGGGGCTCAGGTATCCACCATAAATGTTGTTGCTCCAGTTACTGATGTAATAAACTATCCTTTGTCACTGACCCAGGAGTGTTGTATCTTCTGCAAGCATCCAGGAAATTGGAAGACTTAATTGTTAGCTTGCAAATAAGGTAAATCTCACACTTAGCAGTTCTTGATATTGGTGATTTTGTGCTCTATTTTTATACTCTGAAACAATTTGCATAAAATTAGAATCCTTAATGGTTTGGTAAATCTAGCCTATAAAACCATTTGGGCCTGAAGTCTTTTCAGGCGTGAGGATAGATTTTTTAAACACCAATTTCTTTAATAGCTGTTGATCTATTCCTGTTTTTCAGCTCTTAATTTTTGGTAATTTTTATAAAACATTATCCATACTAAGTTTTGAAATGAATTGGACTAAAATTTTCATAGTTGTGGTACATTTAGGGTTCTGCACAAATACTCTGGTCTCCTTCCGAGTACTTGGTTTATTTGTACTTCCTGCCCCTTAAAAGTTAAGCATAATGTACAATTATACTCGAAACTAATAACGCTAAAAAAAAAAAAAAAGTGAAACAGCCATGAGACTTGACAATGAAAACGACAGTCCAATGAAAATACTGTGTGTTGCTTCTAGGTCGAGCATCTATCAGTTTGAAATGGTGCAGCAGTCTCTTTTCCTCCTCAATAACCTTTCTACAACAAACGGCAATGTACCAGACAGAGGAAGCTGTCACCCTGGATCATAAAAGTTTAGGGTGGTGTGAACAGGACACTCAGGGATGCTGGGAGGAAAAAACATCTCAATGTAACTGAATCTGACTGAAAGAATAAAGTGGCTTATAAAACAATTAAAGAAAAGTGATAGAAAGTTGAATCTGACTTATTTTCCCACTTGAAGGAAACAAAGAAAAAGTTCTTGGAGAAATTCATTGTGTGATATCAAAGAGTGAGAAAGAAATGCAAAGAAAAATCTCCAAGTCACATCAAGTTTAGAAAGAATATAAAGAAGAACCAGCATTCCAGAATCTCAAACAGGTACTTCTGCCTCTAAAATGATTTACCTCATGATTCCTCTCATATCCTGGAAAATAAGGCTATGAACTTTCCCCCCACAGAATATGGTTCAAACTTATATTCACTATCAAAGACCATAAAGCAGGCTCCATTATTTTGAAGAACTGTTCAGAGACACAAAGACTCAACAATTATCTCATTCATTTTTGCAATTCCAGCAGCTTGCACAGTGCTTGTAGTGGGTAGCCAATATGTTTGCTGAATGCATGAATGAGTGCCTGTATATAAGGACTGATTTAAAAGAGAATAAATACTCAGCATATTTTCTGATAATTTCCCAAATCAAGCCTCTCAAATGTATTTTCATAGGAACTGAAGATTATGATGAATATATTTCAGATACTGTTTGTAGTTCTTATGAAAAAGTATTCTTTAGAGGTTAATTCAGAGTCCTGAAATCAGTTGAAAAGGAAATATGTCCTATCTTTCATTTGTGATGGGACAGACAAAAGGTGAAGCACAGTGTTTCACTGCTCTGTATTCTTCATATTACATAAGAATTTGGTAGTGTCAAAAGTTGATTTGTTATAAGTAGGCCTTAGCAGAGGTGGAGTGATATTTTTAAAGTCACGAGTTAGTATAGAGTTACTCTGTTAATATACTTGAAAACTTAATGCAAAATGGATCTTAAATTTCATCTTTATCTCCTATAGCTTTAGGATTACAGAGTCAAATGTATTAATCCTGAAAAATTAAATTTTTATATTGAATAAGCTAAAGTATCTTGTAGATTACTTATAACTCTAACACCTTAATTTTCAATATAGTTTATAAAGTTATCAGGCTAAATTATAAAATTTTTTAATGTTTCTGTAACCAGGTAAAAAGTGAGTATTATGTCTTTAGAAAATATTTTCTTTTTTATCGTGGTAGAATATACATAACGAAATTTGCCATTTTAACCATTTTTGGTAGACAATTCAGTGGGATTAATTACTCTCACAAAGTTGTGCAAACATCATCCCTATTTCCAAAAAAAAATTTTCATTACCACAAAGAGAAACTCTGCAGCTATGAAGCAGTAATGCTCCAATCCCCCACTCTCCCTGTCTGGAGACTTTTAATCAACTTTCTGCCTCTATGAATTTGCCTATTCCAGATATCTCATATGAGTGGAGTCATACAATGTTCATCCTTTTGTGTCTGGCTTATTTAATGTATTACAGCATGTATTAGAACTTCATTCCTTTTTATGGCTGAATAATATTCCATTATATGTATGTACCACATTTTGTTTATCCATTAATTTGTTTACAGATACTTGGCTTGTTTCCATCTTTTGGCTATGGTGAATAATGCTGCAAAGAACATTAGTGTAGAAGCATCTGTTTGAGACTACGTTTTCAGTTGTTTGGGGAAATATACCCAGGAGTAGAACTGTTGAATCATATGATACTTGAACGCTTCGCTTTTCGAGGAAACTCCAAACTGTTTTCACAGTGGGATGCATCATTTTGCACCCCTACTAGCAACGTAAAAGAGTTCCAATTTCTCCAC